TCAATACCTAAGCCTGTGAGAGACTCTTGAGATTTGAACTAAAACATTCTATCCTGGTTGCCAAAGGTCCGTGGCCATCTTGTAATACAGAGATGTATTTATTCCAGTTTCCAGAGGCCTCATAGTCTCAACGCTGATCAGAAGCCTAAGTCTAAAGTCTCTACTGAGGCTCCAAATAGTCTTTTAGCTGTGACCTGTAAAGTAAGAAAGATGTATTCAAGATTGAACCAAAGCAGGACCAAAACATTAAATCTTGTAACTCCATGCCCAGAACCTGGGGTGCATTGTTTGGTCTTACAGCATTCCTTAGATGATGGAGGAAGGTCATTGGTTAAGTAATAAAGAAACTGCTTGGCCTCATAGGTTAAAACATAGGTGGGAGGAGTAAACAGAACAGAATGCTGGGAGGAAGAGGAAGTGAGGTAGACGCCTCAGACAGATGCCATAGCTCAGCTCTCGGGGGCACACGCAATGAAGCTCCGACCCAGGATGGACGTAGGCTAGAATCTTCCCAGTAAGCGCACCTTGGGGTGCTACACACATTATTAGAAATGGGCTAGTCCAGGTGCAAGAGTTAGCCGAGAAGAGGCTAGATATAATGGGCCAAGCAGTGTTTAAAAGAATACAATTTGTGTGTTGTTATTTCGGGGCATAAGCTAGCCAGGCGACCAGGAGCTGGGGAGGCAGGAACACAGCCCGCAGCTCCCCACAACACTTAGAAACCTAGGTGCAAGTCTCCATGACCCCAAAACTCGAGACAGGTGGTGGTGGTGCACACGTTTAATCCCAGCACTCTGGAAGCAGAGGCAGGAGAATCTCTGTGAGTTCAAGGCCAGCCTGGTCTACAGAGCCCATTCCAGGACAGCTAGGGCTGTTACACTGAGAAACCCCATTTTTTTTAAAAAAAGACCCCCAAACTCTTGCATTCTGCACACTTGAAAATAGCACCCGGTGGATAATTGCGAAGTCCTCTGTTAGCTAAGACCCCTTAGATCATGACTGCATCAGCCCGAGTACTCGAGTAACTGAACTTGGAGCCAAGGAAACTATTTCCCTAGGCGGGCCTTTTCCATCAGAACATCCTGGTAACTCTAAAGCATTTCAAGATTGTCTTCAGTTTTATGCTCAGGAACCTTTAAACAGTGGGTACTCATTCTCGGGTCACCTGCTTTGCTGTCCCAGTGTCAGGTACGCGGCTTCTGAATGAATCTGATGACTTTAACATCAGCTGCCTGTCTTACCCGCACTTCCCTTATCCATGGCTTTAAATATCTTCACCTTCCTTTCAGGACCAAATCCCAATTTTAGAAATTCTTCTCTGCATTTTGTTGCCGATTCTCACTGTAAATCTAGCTAAAAATAGCCCGCCAGAACCATACCATAGGCTGAGTGCTAACTTGTCTTGCATTTTCTCCATTACCTTTGATATCCGCCTCTCTCGAATTTTCAGGACATAGGTAGAATGCAAACAAATTCTTTGTCAGACACAAGTGGCTCTGTAGACCAGTTCCCAGTAGAGTCTTTGTCCCTACCTGAGACCACGTGAGTTCCGTCTTTGCTGTCCACATTGTCAGCATTTCTCATCCTCCAAGTTCTCACCAGAATGATGACTTCACAGCTTCAAACTCTTCCAGATCCCTCACACAGACCAGTTTCAAAGGCTGATTCCCGCCTGGTGGCATTAGTGACAGCAATGACCACTTGATTGGAGCCAGCTCTGCTCTCGCTGCCTTCGCACTGTTCTGACAGAAGCACCTTGAAAGGAAGAAAGATTTATCCTGGCTCCTGGATTTCCAAGGGACTTCTGTCTATTTTAGCAGTAGCGGCATGCAGTACAGGCACCTGACGTCACTGAGGTTTCAGTATGCAAGAGGGTCGGGCTGTGTTGAGGCTGAACAGAGATACAGTATGCGGTTCCTTTAGCGAGCGTGATGATGGAAGCCACTGGGCCGTGCATGGCTGCGGCTTGATCCGGTGATGTAACTCCTTGTCATAGTATCTGATGACCACTCTTTGCTCTGTAACAGTGAGGGGCCCTGTGTGTACACAAGGAGGAAAAGGCTTGTCACCGTCACAGTTGTTATCAGTAACATCCCTGTCACCATCCAGGTGCTGGCCTTTGAGGATATGATTTCCATGGTCCTTCACCCTGTTGATTAAGGTTCGTTACACTGCGTTGACAGAGTAGCTTGGAAAAAACGATGGAAGCTGGAGACTCTCTTTCACGACAAGAATAGGTGTGTGCAGGCGAGCGGGGCCAAGGGAACTGCACGGTCAGGATGGGCTCTGCTGAGAGTCGTCCTGCCCTGTCTTCCTCAGCCTGGTGAGCCGCTGTCACTCACCCCACCATCTGCATTCCAAGCAGTGGGTTCGGGGGCAGCTTAGGGCGCACTGACCCACAAAGAACTCTCATTCCAGATTCATCACCACCCTGTAGCCATGGGAAACATGGCCTTCGACGGGGGGACAGCAGCCAGCTCATCACGTGTCTCAAATTCTGTATTAAGGGAAAGCTGGCAGACCCTGCCTCTGATCCTGAGCCCAGGCATCTGGTTTTGGTTCAGGGGTCACTAAAGAAGGAATGCGGTACCCCGTGAGGATCTCGCACATAGAGAAGTTGAAATCTGGCACATTCCTCGAGGTTCTGAGTAGACATGAAGTTGTTAGTCCCCTCACTGATGAGTGAAAAGGCCGTGGCCGCTGGGGAATGGTAACCTGTCTGCAAGTGCTCATTGGTTCTAGGTTTGCCGCCATGACTGTGCTGGGCGGGACACTTCATAGCCAGGCTAGCAATGGCAAGATTTCCACACGGGTTTTCCCCAGCTCTGTACTGACTGGCAAAGTCATGAGGCATGCCCTCCGGCTTCCCCAGGCTTGTCCTGTCATCCCTGCAGTCCAATTGGACCGAGTTGTGTCTATGCTGTGTGTGTAGCTCTTAAGTTGTGAGTTGCGCATTCATCCTAGAATGAGATGGCACAGTACTGTGACCAAATGCCTGGGAACCAGCAGCTTAAGGAAGGAAGGACTTATTTTGGTTTACAGTTTGAGAAGGGCTCGAAATCGTCATGGCAAAGATGGAGTGGCAGAAGCATGAGGCTACTGGTCAGTCTTTATCCATAGTCTGGAAGGAGAGACAGTATTATTGGTCCTGGTTTTCTTTTTGTTGCTATGATAAAACACCAGCCAGAACTGGCTTGGTGGTGAAGGGTTTATTTGTTTTGTTCTTCTCCATCATGATCCTTCATTTAGGGAAGTCAGGCAGGAATTCAAGCAGGAACCTGGAAACAGGAGCTGATACAGAACTGGGGGGTAACACTGCTTACTGGCTTGCTCCTCATTGCTTGCTCAACTTCCCTTTTTGTAGCACCTAGGACCACATGCCTGGGGTGGCCCCATACCCAATGGGTTGAGCCTTCCCACATCAGCCATTAACCAAGAAAATGTCCCCACTGACACATTCAGAGGCAGGACTAACCTGGTGGAGCCAACTGAGAGTCCCTCTCCCCAGGTGACTCTAGTTTGTATCAAGTTGACAAAACAAAACAAACCCTAACCAACCCAGAGAAGGAAAAGGAGGGAGAGGGCAGGAAAGGGGCCTGCCTACCTTGCTTTCTGTTTCTCCTTTTCATTCAGAGTGGGACCCCAGCCCAAGGGTGGTGCTCACATTCAGGGCAGGCCTTCCTGCTCAGGTAAACTTCTCTTGGAAATGCCTTCCCAGACAGCCCAAGGTGTGTCTCCTAGGTGACTCTAAATCAGTCACGTTGACAGAGATCTCTGTATTTACACCAAAGTCTCCCGTGGTGTCTTTTGTATTCACTGCAGGTTTTCACAGTGAAACCTTTTCTTTCAAAGATTTAAAAAAAAATAAAAAAAATCAAGACTCACCATGTAGCTCAGGTTAGCTTCACACTTCCCGTTCTTCCTTCCTCTACCTCGAAAGTGCTGGGATGACAAACATGGCCCATCATGTGCGGCTATCTCAAGGATTTTTTTCTTCTAAATTCATAGCTATTAACTGTTTATTGTAAAAAATATGAACACATGTAATAGAGAAAGCAATAATTGCCCAAGATTCAGATACCAATTCAGATACCAATATCTGCATTGCCCAATTCAGATACCAGTACACAACATACTCTCTTCGTCTCAGTGTCTGAGAAGATAGGAAACCGTCTGTCTACTTTGTTTAATCAAGTTGGGATCTCAGCACACACAATGCTTTATACTGAGCCTTTTCACTGGGTGGAGATTCCTCCAAAGCCGTATGTATTTTACGAGGTGACTCCTGGCACAGGGTGAAGCATGCTGCTGACACCTTGCCCTGGCTGCCTGGCTATCTGGGGCTTTGTTACTACTTAATGGGGTTGGCTTCATGTCACATTGACAGTATCTTCGTTCCTGCTTGTAGGCACAGGGCCAGAGAGGTGGGGTTGCCCACCAGGATAGAAGAACCACCGGAGTGGCACAGGGTGGGTGAGGGGCAACCCTTGACTTGGCAGCGTGAGGAGCAGAGAGATCATTGGGCTTTCTAATAAGACATTATTGTGGATTGTCCACAGTACCTCCACCCGAGGCGGGGCACACTGCTCTCTGTTCCCATGCAGTGGCAAGTTCCGCTACCCCCACCCCACCCCCACCCTGCAGACCCTCCCAAGACCAATGATGAGCCCAAGTCTAAGTTCAAGGGAGAGGCTGAGGAAACTAGGGGGGTGTTGGAGAGCAGTAGGGAGCTCTCCTTGGTGGACCGTTCCTGAGGAGCTCTATTCCGTGCCCCGTGCTCTCTTAGCCCTTCCGGAAGCATTTTTCTCTTCTCTGAAAACAATCCCATTCTCACAGATAGTTTGCTCAGGCTCCCTCCTCGAGAAGGATGTCAGTGGCCACTGGAGGGACTTGGCTTTGGTACCTCTTCTGCCGTCTGTGCCATTTCTGGGGTCCCAGGGCTTTTGACTCCGTTGTGTGAGTCCTTGCCATTTTGACCTCCCTGTGCTGTTCTTTAACAGGCAACCATCGGGATTGACTTCTTGTCAAAAACCATGTACTTGGAAGACCGTACGGTGAGTTCCTGATCTCTACCTGGGAGAACAGAGGGGAAATTGTCTGGTTTATCCCCTAGAGCCCTCAGTTGGGCCCTCTTGGAAGCCTCTGCCAAGATCAGAATGGGATCTGGGCCTCCAACCCCTCTACCAGGAGGGCTCCGCTGCCTCACTAATGCCTCTGCCTTGACCCTGTAGGTTAGACTGCAGCTCTGGGACACAGCCGGACAAGAGCGGTTCCGCAGCCTGATCCCCAGCTACATCCGGGACTCCACAGTGGCTGTGGTGGTGTACGACATCACTAGTGAGTAGGGGTCTGTGTTGGGATGAGGGAGCTCTTGGGGTCCAGTGTGACCCTGATTAGACCTGCGTTATGTGACTGTGTATACAGGGATGTGCTCAGTGTGGGGGTAGTGTGTTATCTTGGACCACTAGTGGGTTCACTGTCCTTCAGACTCCTGTGACAGACATGGCTGAACAAGACAGGGTCCTGCGTGTGGGGGAGGCAGATGCTCACAAGGCTAACCTTCTGCACCCTCTATGGCTCTGGCTGACATGTGTTCCAGCTTTCCCCAGGGATTCTTGGAGGCAGCCCTGCTTGCACACATGGATCCCTAGAGGGCTTCACAGGCTCAGTGGGGGCCCAGAGGTTATGTCAGGCCTTATGCATAGCCCAGCTACCCAAGACCATCTAGAGGAACACAGGCTTCAGTCATAGAGGACCCTGTAAGGACCCTGAAATCACAAGGGATAGGGGCACGCCTGACTCACGGCTCCAGCCTGCCACCTCAGGTCTGCCTTTCCCCTCTGTCCTCCTGACCACATGCTCTTTGTACACCCTAGCGAGATGGGAGCGATATCCCAAAGGACCTGTGTCACCTGCTGTGGAGAGCAGCCACCTCCCTCCCTCTAGGTGCTGAGCTTGAGTGTAACTCCGTGACTCTCTGAGGGAGATGTCGCTGCCCATAGATGCCTGGTACCGAATTCAAGTGCCGCAGGGTTGTGGGTTCTCTTCCCAAGCCAGCATGGCCTTTCTCAGACTCCCCCAAGCATCCCTTTGGTGGGACCGCATTTCCTAGGGGCTGCTGTGTCCTCCCTTCAGTGGTTTGCAGCTTGGCCAGGCCCAGTGCCTTCCTTTCCGCCTTCCTCCGTGATCCCCACATCAGCTCCGATGCTTGCATGACCTCTAGAGTCACTGTCCTGTGTAGAGATTGTGACAGCCTAGCTTTCCAGGTATGGTAGCTTCTCTCCCTGGGATGGCTGAGCTGTGCTGAGGACCCTCTAGGATCCCAGGGCAGACCTCACTTCCCTGATTAGCCCCGGCCTAATTGGTGTGTGGAGACTGGATTGATGTCTTGGTACATGCTTGCCCCTGGGGCCCCTCCTTCTCACTCTGCCCCCACTTTCTGCCTCCAGATCTCAACTCCTTCCAGCAGACTTCTAAGTGGATTGATGATGTCAGGACAGAGAGGGGCAGTGACGTAATCATCATGCTCGTGGGCAACAAGACGGACCTGGCTGACAAGAGGTAGGCATGCGCCAGAGAGAGCCTGGAAGCCTGGCAGGACCACGCTTCCTCACTGTTCTGTGGCTGTCCTGCCCTGGAGGTCTGAGAACAGCAAGGCAGGGCTGTAGTAATAGGAGCGGCGGGGCTGCATCCCCAGCAGCCCAGCCGCCTGACTAGCTTATGCCCCGAAATAATTACACAGACACTGTATTCTTTTAAACACTGCTTGGCCCATTTCTATCTAGCCTCTTCTCGGCTAACTCTCGCACCTGGACTAGCCCATTTCCAATCAGGTGTGTAGCACCCCAAGGTGTGCTTACCGGGAAGATTCTAGCCTACGTCCATCCTGGGTCGGAGCTGAATCGTGTGCATCTTCCCGAGAGCGGGGAGCATGGTGTCTCTCCGAGGCGTCTGCTCCCGAGAGGAGAGCTGTCGAGTCTGAGCTCACTTCCTCTTCCTCCCAGCATTCTGTTCTGTTTACTCCACCCACCTATGTTCTAAGCAATGAGCCCAAGCAGTTTGTTTATTACTTAGCCAATGAAATCAACAGATTGATATATGACACTCCCACATCACAGGGCTCTGCGTGCAGGAACACTGACAGCCCTGTTAGACCCCACACACGGCGGCAGGCGTCTCATTTCAAAGTTCCATCTTCCTCAATGCAGCAAAGACAGGCCAGGGACCTGTCTGCACAGATGCTCCCATTATGGTCCCAAGATAGCCTCTGAAAGAGTGGCTCCCTGGGCTGTAGCGCCTGCCCTGTGAAAGCCCTGCATTAACATGTGGGGTACGAAGCCCAGGTCTTCAGGTATGGGTCTGTGGAATATCAGGAGGACACAGACTTTGTCCCTAGTCTGTGCGTCCTGGTTTGTCCTGTGTCCGGGCATGGAGTGTTATTGGAGGAGGCTTCTCTGCAGCTACCCTCCAGTGTCCCGCTCACTAAGGTGTCCTTTCCATGTGTGTCCACTCTCAGAACTCCATGCTGACTTGGACAGATAAGGCCGTGTGTCATGGTTTCTAATAAAGCCCGCGGGCTTCTTACAGGATCTCTGCCATTTAAGAAACAATATGAGTTAAAGAGGAGATCCCTGCGCAGAGGGGAGGGACGTGGGCTCCTCTGCAGAGCAGCATGGGTGGGTGGGGGGTATTTTTAATTTGGGTTTGTACATTAGGAAAAGGCTGTTTCTTCCTGGAAAGGCCCCGTGGCTTGTGTGCAGGAGCTCCAGGTCTGATGGCTGCCGAGAAAGGCAGTGGGGTTGTGGCTCAGTTGTAGAACACTTAGCTTCTATGCATGGAGCCCTGGGGTCGGTCCCCAGCACTCATAAAACCAGGCTTGGTGAAATACACCTGCAGTCCCTGTTCTAGGGCGGTGGGCACAGGGCAATCAGAAGGTCAGTGCCATCTTGGCTACATCATGAATTCAAGGCCAGCATTACCTTCCTTCAAAGATGGGGGTAGCCTTGCTCCCTGGTCAGAAGACATGGAAAGGGGCTGGGGTTCTCTGTGTTCAAGTACCGCCTTCTTACTAGACAGACAATGGCTGGCATTCTGGCAGGGAGTCTCTCTTCAGGGCCCACTAAGGGGCCTGGCAGGCTCCTTCTGCCCTCCCATAGTCCTTCATCTTAGGCTGCCTCCTTCACTTCTGCCGGGATTGCCCCTCTGCCAGCTGATCTTTCCATCTCCCCTTCACTTCCAGGCAGATAACCATCGAGGAAGGGGAGCAGCGGGCCAAAGAACTGAGCGTTATGTTCATCGAGACCAGCGCGAAGACCGGCTACAACGTGAAGCAGGTGAGGGCGCGGCCAGCAATGTCCCTGACTCCCCCAGGTCTAGAAGCCCTCACCTGGGACCATCCTTTCCTCCGGTTGGCTAGTGACTAGGTTGGGGCATCCAGCCAGCACATACACCTGCTTCTCTTGGGGATGACACTGACTTCCGGGGCTGGTAAAGCAGGTGGTGTGGAGGGAGCCATCAGCTTGGGGGCCACGCAGACACCCTCAGTCACTAGTCTCCACAGCTGTGATCGGGTGTGGGCCCCGGTAGCAGCCTGCATGGATGAGGGTCCTTGGACTCCCACCTGGCTGAGAAAGCTATGGTTCCCAGCATCTCACTTTACTTCAAGAGAGATTAATGTATTAGCTTTATGTCCTGTATGTGGCAAGAACTCGGGGCCATGAATGGGAACTCAGAAATGGAGCAGAGAGGATCCCGGGGCAGCTGGGGATCATAGGAGGGAGAAGAGGTGGAGCTGGGGCTGGAGCAGTCGTGTGCAGCTGGGATCCACAGAACCCAAGTTGTCCATGAGCAGAGCTTATCTGCTCAGGTTGCCTGGGCTTAAGAAAATCCCACCTGCGTTGTGACTACTCCCTCGTCTGTAGCCTGATCCTCAGTGATCCAGCCAGGCTCAACATCAGCAGTGAGTGCAGGGACTGTCACCAGCAGAAGCCACAGGTGTCTTCACGGTGTGACAGGCATCCTGCACTTTGCTTGTGGACCTCAGCATCCCACTAGCTAATCCTGTTGTCTGATGTGTCCATAAGGAGACACAAATGTCGCCTTGGCATGGATTTATGATCCTTAAGTATTCGAGAAGCTTCATCAGAACCAAACAGTATCCTTTACCATCTCCATAACTGACTTTACATATGAAAAGGGAGTCCACGGGCTTCAGCAGATTGTGGAAGGGGTCCATGGCTCAAGCAAGGTGAGAAGCCCTCTTTCGGGGAACAAGGAGGGCAAGGTGGCAAGGAGGAAGGGCATCACAGGTAGGGCTGGTGGGAGCAGAGGCCTGGCAGTAGGGTGCCTGCAGCATACAAGGGCACTCCTGATTAAGGAGCATGGCTTGCTATTATCTACTGTGACCCTAGATTTCCCAAGAACACCAGGCAAAACTGGGCACCAGTTGGCCTTTGGGAGATAGTGATGGTTCACCCCACGTTGATAGTGCTGGTGGCCTCAGAGAATAAGGATGACGGGGAGCTAGAAGGAGAGGGTGGGAGGGGCTCTTAAGGCCACATTAGAGAGACCCCACAGCGTCTGGAACCCAGTGCCCAATTGGAGGGCCTTCAGCAGCTCCATTCATCCCAGCCCCTTCCTGTATGAGTATCAGAGATGAGCCTGAGGCCCTTCCCTCGGGGGCACCTCAGCAAGGAGGAGGAGAGGAAGCAGGAGTGCTGCTCTTTGGGTCCAGTGATGTCATGGGAAATGGAAGTGGAGGTGAGTGTTAGGCATCCATAGAGCAGGAAGCATCTGCACAGCCCTCTGGGCCAAGGAGAGGCTGGTCCCATTTCCCGTCTGGGAATGATCTGGAATCTGGGCAAGGGTTTGAGCGGTAGTTAAATCTGACCAGTTGAGCTGCTACCACAAACCACCACAGGCCATGTAGCTTATGGAAGCCAGAAAATGACCTCCACCTGCTCTGAAGGCTGGGGACCCAGGTTGAAGGCGCTGGTGGACTTAGTCTCTTGCACCGCCCCCCTCATATTGACACCTTCTAGCTGTTTCCTCATATTAAAGGAACTCGCAGGCTCCCTCAGCCTTTTTGCCAAGGCATTAGTCCCAGTCAGGAGGGCTCCCTAGCAACACCTTATTATACCGTTCTGCTGGGAACCAGGTTTTAACATATGGAGACCCAGACATCCAGACTAGTCCAGAATCCTCTGTGCTCTGGGATTTGGCCTGTACTTGTTTCTTTCAAGATGTTATCCCTGCCAGCCTCCACCTTCCAGGTGCCCCCCCACCATGTCTCCTCCTGTTCTCATACACACTCACTTAGGTGAACTCACACATGAACCATACTTAGCGTGCTTGCTTCCCCCACGCTCACTTTCTCATATACACACAGGAACGTGACATTCACAATACCACACACACACACACACACAGTCATGGTGGCATTCTCATGTTCCTCACTGTGGCTGTGGCCCTGGCTCCCAGTGTCTGCCTTGCCCCAGTGTCCCTGAGTAATGCCATTTGTCTTAGGTCAGAAACTGGTTTTCTCCACCTACTTCCCATGTGAGGGCAACAGTCAGAAGCCTGCTCCCTGTGGCCCGGATGCTTTCTGCACTAGGACAGGTCCTCTGCAGTCACCATCACGCTCTTGCTGACTGCCTGTGGCCAGTCTGCCTGTAGGAGAAGCCACAGTTTTGCTGTGTGTGGGGACATGCATGTGTTTGCACCTGTGCGGGCCACAGGCTAACTTCTGATGTCATTTGTCAGGTGCCTTCGACATTGTGTTTTGAGACAGGGTTTTGATTTTATCTGGAGTGCACCAGTCCTGCTAGGCTGGGAGGCAAGTGAATCCTTGGCAAACACTTTATTGACCAGGCCGGCTCTCTAACCTCTGTTCCCTCTTCCTGCAAACACCCTGAGACCCTCCAGGACCTGCCCTGTGAGGGGCTATGGTGGCAGCAAAGGGCTCAGACCAAGCCGGCACTCCATGGCACAGTCAGTGGGCAGACATCCATAATACCCATCCACATGAGGAGAGCAGTGCGGGAGGAGATGGGGAGATGGGAGGAGGGGGACTGGGCGGGCCTCACCCTGCATCTCCTGCCTGCAGCTCTTCCGACGCGTGGCATCGGCTCTGCCTGGCATGGAGAACGTCCAGGAGAAGAGCAAAGAAGGGAGTATCCTTTTCCTTTGACACGTGAGTGAAAAGACAGCCCCAAAGCCCGTGTTTGGCTTGGTGTTGCACTAGAGCAGGTACATGTTACCCGGCCTCCAGCCAGGCCTTCCCTGGACTGATCCAGATAGCCAGGCCGCCCCTGTTCAGCAGCCGGATGGGCTCCATGGCCATTGAGCCCCCAGCCAGGAAAGAGAAACAAGGGCTATGCAGGAATCACCGGTGTGGGGAGGGGAGGAGACATAGTGGCTCCATCTTGCTCTGTAGTGAACACGATGTGTGTTTTGTGAGGCCACTGGAGAGCCAGGCAAGGATGCTTCTATACACTAGCATGTGAGTTCAGCATGTCAGTGCTTCCTCCATCTTCCCACTGCGCTATGGAACAAGCTTGCGCAGCACTCCCAACCTAGCTAACACCCAGTGCTGAAACTGAGGCACATAGAGGCCATGTATGTAACTTAGGGAATTAGGATTCACACTGAGGCTTCCTTCATATCTACCCCTTCTCTGTTCTGGGTTGCTGTCTCTCAAAGGGCCCCTGAGAGGATGTGATGGGAAGTGCATAGGGGCAAGAGGACATGGCCCACAAACAGGCGTTCTTTGAAGTTGATCAGATGGCTCCACCTGAATAAGGCCCGAGAGACCCCAGCCTACATCTTTCAGACTGGGATACCCAGCATCCTCCACTTAGCCCTAGAGGTCTCTGAGGGAGATGCCCACTGAGGGTCACAGAGTGACCTAAGTGGTTGGAAGAGCGCTGACAGGCCAATGAGGGTGGAAACAAAGGAAACCTCTAGTTTAATGTAGAAGCCAAAGAGATGACGTGGCTGTGCCTGTCCCTTTCCTCTGCTCAGTGCTCCTGGGTGGGGTAGGAAATAAGGTCCTAGCAGACAGTACCTGTGTGCTTCAGAGGCTCACAGGGCACCAAGGGGAGAAGACTAATGTGTGTCACATGGTTGGCCAGTCACAAGACCTCACTTGCAGGTAAGGAGACAGAAACAGACCCTGGGCTACAGGGAGTGTCTCCCCACTCTCATTGCATGGCTGAGCTGGGCTGCATTCCTTGAAGGAAAGACCCCCAGTGTTACCAGCCAGGTGAGGGGCCCTCGAGTTGCCAGAGAATGCAGAAACCCACCTACAGGAAGGCAAGAGACGTGGTGACCCCTGCTGTGCCAACCATGAGGGACAGATAGCCTCCTTCTGCCCTGCCCATTGCAAAGGCAAAGCCAACCTGCCCAGGTGAGTGGTGGCCATTCATGCATGTTCTCCCGGAATATGGTCCACATGGGACTCCATGCTGGACCAGCTATCAGGCCACATGCTCCCACTTCAGGGTGACAATTAGCGTGGCATCCTAGTGTGCCTAACATCTCACTCGGCTCTAGGGGAAGAATTCTGAGCAGATAGCAAGCAGATCACACAGGGCAACCTGGGCTGTGTCTGTTTGCCCTATGTGGTACCCCCATCTGGCAGATGCAGCCACATACCCTTCCCAGGTGTCCAGTGGCTGGAGCCTCCTAGGAGGCAAGACTAGAACAGCCTGGAACAGACTGGAGACAGCTCAGAAGGGACCAGGTGGAAGCAGTGACCACTCTGGCTCAGCCGGAGTGTCAGGCTAACACATCTGCCTGCAGATGGTTCAAACCCAGATGTCTTGAGGATGCATTCTTGGGGTCATGCTTGGGATGGCATAGACATGAGGACCAAGCACACAGAAATGCCACTTAGGGGTGCTCTGTGAAAGGTTCTTAGATGGCTCTGCTCCCTGGACGGGTGGCGGGGGTGGGGCATGGATGTGCCCTGCTTCCAGATCCCCAGAGAGCTCCTGTACTTCCACTCCACCCCGCACAGGAAGCCTCCCCAGGGCCTTTCTAGCAGCTTCTGCCACCTGCTCTGTAGCTCTCAACAGAGTTGGGCTAAGGGACCCCAGGATGATGGAGTCACAAGCCCCTTGCTGGGACCACACACACAGGACTCTCCTTTCTGGCAGTGACTTGGCAGTGACCATGACACTTACGCCTCCCAAGCAGGGCAGAGCATGCCCCAGACCTCCCAGGTGATAAACCTGCATGTTTGTATCCTGTAGCCTCTGTCCTCTGTGTTCCCCGTAGCACCAGAAGTACTGGGGCAGGGAAGCATACCCAGCAGTTGGATATAGATGGTAACGGGCCATCTGGGCCCATCACTGTCTCAGGAGCCATCAGACCGTGGGCCTTGATGTGGTTAGTGTCGGGCCACACTTGGGGTCCTGACTGTGGCCGGTGCAGCATACTGGGCTTGAGGGGCATGCAGCCACATGCTGTCCTGTTACAGAAGAGCACAGGGCAGGTTCATCCCAAGTCCTATGGCACATCTCCGCACAGTCTCCTCTTCTGGGGGCGATTGAGAAGTCAGCCCACCCATTCTTCCCCATCTTTTCAATCAGAAGCAGCCCTCGACCACAGTATTTCAGTGGCACGTAGCATTACAAAAAAAGAAACATTAAATGTTAGTATGTACAAATGCTTGCAGCAAAGTATTTAAAGTTATGCTTTATAATATCATAGTCTTACACGAGTGTTTCCACTTAAACTTGGGTTAATATAAAAGTTAAGTTTCGGGATGTGGGAGATGGGTCAGTGGGTAAGAGCAATTGCTGCGCAAGCTCGAAGACCCAAGTTTGAATCCCTGACACTCTTGTGAAAGCCCAGACATGGCCACACAACTGTAGCCTCAGTGCTGTGCAGAGACAGGAGGGTCAGTAGGGCTTGCTTACCACCCGCCTAGCTCCAGAGTTAGTGAGAGACCCTACTACACACATGCACACGCACACACGCACGCGCGCGCGCACACACACACACACACAGTTTAAAAAGTTTCCTGTGGCTACCATGCAGATGGAGAGTAGCCTCCCACCACAAGTCCTTTTGAACAGTGCCATCTTGGAATTACCCAGCGTCTGTAGCAATGGCTTCCCAGGTGGCGTGCATTGGGATGTTCCAGAGTTTTTGGTAATTCGCCCTGCAGATCCATCTCCAGATCCACCAGGAAGATGTATTTTGTAACAGGTTTCTCAGGAGATGTTTAGACACAGTCCAAAAACCCGACGTGGTGTCCATAAGTGTTGTGCCTCAGACTGCACTGTAGAAGATTCCTTTGGAACACAGTCAGGTCACTCCCGTATGGGACAGAATGTCATCATGGCAGCAGCCAGCCTTTTAGCTGGACCAGTGCTTCTCAGCTTGGACTGACTCCGGCCCTCCCTCATGAGGGGAATTGGGCAATGTCTGCCGACGACTTGGGTTGTGGTAAGTTAGGGGACTGGAAAGCAAGTGTTTCTGGCAGAGGATGGGTGGAGATCAGGGATGCTGCGAGCATCCTCCACCCTCAGAGGGTGTGCCATGACAAAGTAGCACTTGGGAGGAGGGCCAGCAGTTAATGAGGCCGAGACTAACGGAATTTGAGCACCATCCATCAGTCACTGAGAAAAGCTTCTGAGACAGACCCTCCCCGGCCTTTGGGTCACGTCATAGCCCAAGTTTCCCTCTAGGTAGACAGTGTGGGGGCTGTAGGCGGGTGGAGGTAGGAGAGAGAAGGGTGGAAGACGGGCAGTTCCTTCCCACTCCAGCTGAGTTAAGAGCTGAGTGTGGGGTGTGCAGATGGACAGAGTGGCATCTTGGTGACCGTCATCTTCCTTAGCCAGCCTCCTACAGTGATTGACATCAAGCTGGACAAGCCCCAGGAGCCCCCGGCCAGCGAGGGTGGCTGCTCCTGCTAATGCAGACCCACTCGGCTTCCTCGAAAACGCTCACTTGTGTTGCCTCCTATTGGTTAGCTTCCTAACGGGGTGGGAAATGAGTTTATCAAACGGGAGGATCTTTCTTTTCTCTCTCTCTCTCTAGGAGTAGGGTGGGACATGGGGAGGGAGGCTGGGCATCAGGGACCACGTCACTCTTAACAGCTGTTACCTAAACAACTATTTTTTGGTTTGGTTGTAATATATTGTACTTTATTAAGATTGCCAAAAACTGTTAAAATTAAAAAAAATTTAAATCATGTGTATACAACTTTTTGCCAGATAAAAGAAGTAGTCATTTTTATTTGAAAGATGTGCTTTTTTTTGTTTTTGTTTTTGTATATTTGTAAACTTATAGAGAACCTCTCCATACACCTCTTCCTTCCTGTTCTCTTGAAACTGTGTGTCACCTCTACCTTCCTCCCATCCCCTGTCCCGTAAATTAAAGCAATTAACTGAAAAGTAGTAATTAGGTTCCAGGCCTGGGTCACATGACTCAAACCAACCAAGCCCTCTACCCAGGCTCCCCTCAGTCAAATCAGACTTTAGTTTAACAAAACAGCCCAGAGGGGCCATTATTCAGTCCGTCCTTGGCAGAGTGGGACACATTAGCCGGCCCCTGACTGGAAATGAAGGCCTGTGGGCTTTAGCATCAGCGCCAGGCCCCACGGCTGCTTCTGCCTCATCTCCTCCCCTGAAAAAACATGCAGACAGAGAACACAGACAACTGTGTGTTCTCTGTGCTAACCCAGTGACGAGCAGAGCGAGAAGGTACTGGAAGGATGGGGTGCTCCAGGCAGCTGTGGACAGAGGCAGGGTTGTGGTTCTCAAATGTTGTAAGCTACTGGCCCAACAGTTGACGCATGTACTTAGGCTGACTGGCCAATTCAATGTGTGAGGTGAAGCGGGGTGCTCAGGGGTGCTGAAGCCTGGGGTACGTGCCGTTGGTCCACCTGTGATTGGGGAAGAGACGGATGTCTGCCCTGACTCTGAACAATATGTGTTCCCAGACCTTCTACTACTCTTGCTGGGTACTGTTGTGGGAGCGTTGATTCCTTGATGTGTTTTCAGCCCCTGGCATGGTACATTTGAAATCTTTGTGTGAATACCTTTGGAGTGTTGTGGCTGCACTACAGGCATCTTGAGGTTACTGTAGGATTTCCAGAAGGCTGCCCAGGGCACTACCACCTGCCCCAGCAAGCTGTCCTTGCTGTTTCCACTCATTCCTGAGACTGCTTTAGTCTTAAAGATCCTCAGAGACTCTTAACAGAGTTCTCTCCTCAAAGCAGAGTAACCCATACCCTCAACGCCCCCAGACTCACTGCCCTAAGCCTGCCCAAAAAAAGACAGGGGCAGTGACCCTTCAGAACATCCCAATCCTATAGCATTGGCTCGTCTCCAGACCGCTGATGTGCAGGGTAAATGCCACCACGGGGTTGGGATGAATTATGGAACTTCTCAGAAATGAGTTCAGAATGGCAGCCTGCATGGCGGGTTTCATTTAGTGAGTGGGCCTGCCATGCTTCTCCATCCTGGGAGACAGTGTCAGTGCCTGCTCTGGTGACGAAGAGAGGAAGCAGGATCCTCCTGGGTACCGCTTCCAGAAGGCAAGGACCAATGTACAAGCGTAATTGAAACATCATGTGTTTAGCTTTTTTATGTGTGTACATAATTATACATAGAGATAGACTTGTGCATACACCCCACACACACATCCTCACGTATACATGTGCTCAATGTATATTCCTGTCGCTCCCACTCTCAAGTTGGAACTTGCATTGTGATTCCAGTTTTGGAAGTTCAAAAGTATGCAGTGTACTGAAATAAGAAATACTCAAAATATTGTCCAATAACTTGTGGTTGTCTTGCCTTCAATAAAATAGTGCATAGATGTGTTAAGCTACAATCAGAACTCGTCCACAGAACCACCTTCACTGCTTTCTGTACCTGTGTGCACAGGTGTGCATGCCTTTGTGGGCCAGTGTCCCCCCACCGTGGGCACCCCACCTAAGTGGTGCTTGTTGGAAGAAGGCACACTTACCCTGTGCTGACAGCAGCCTGGTTGGCAGGGAAGGGCTTCGCTGGCAGCCTCTGGCAGAGCCCCACGACAGGGCTTTGTCCTGTGTCTCAAGGAATGAATGTAGGGTGAATTTTTATCTTCTTGGCACTAAACGATAACTTTTCCCGTATTTCTTAACTTGAAGTAGCAGATCCGTTCCCTCTTGTGCACACAATCTAAGGCATCATGGCATGCTTTAGAAACAGCAGGAACCATGGTGGATGCCATCCTGGTTGATCGGACCTAAGGAGCCCTGCCTTCCTAGCTTGTCCACAAAACCCCTCTTGAGTTTAGGGTCTCCCAGTCTCGTTGCTTCTAAAAATGAGGGTACAGTCACCCCATTGCTCTCCCACCCCAGCGGTGCCCTGGCCTTTTCCTCAGCCCATCTCCTTCTCTGACGGCCATTAAGGCAGCTAGGCCCCGCACAGAACTAATTCTGTTGCGTCTGGGACTGATTTCTCCTTGACGCCCACCCACCCTCCTTGTTGGCAGGATCTGGTCAGGTTCGCTTGAAGATGTCCTGAAATTATCTCAGTGCCCCCATCTTTGCTGAATCCACATCAGTCAGAAGACAGATAGAGGATTCTCTTAGGACAAGATCTCAACTTAGTAATTCAGTTCCTCTCCCTGGACATTTGAGCCTGGCCTGGCAGATGGACATGATCCTCTATCTTTTCTTTAGAAGTCTTGAAGGAGATTGTCAGCAAAACTTCTGTGAGCATTTCAGGAATCGTCTTAAGATTGGAAAGGCAGGCAGCTTAGCTATACCCACATGCACACCAAAATGGAGGTGTGACGTCAGTGTCCTGAGTGCTAGTCTTGCTATGGGGTCAGAGGTTAGAATGTTCGGTGGCCAGGGCCTGACTGCTGTCACAGCCACTGCTTCCTTCCTGTCGCCATCTTAAACATTTCTGCAATACCCCAAGATGGGAGGCGAAAGCCACGGTCGCATCAGTTAAACGTCAGGCAGCAGAGATAAGTGTTGCAAGGTGGTAACTAGGAGTGTAGACAGCTGGGCACAACGAGAGCTATAGCCAGTGCTTGGCCTCCAGCATCCAGTGTGACAGTATGGGGACAGCAGTGGTGTCAGCGTCCTGCAGGTAGAGCAGTTAATTCCTTCGCCATACGGAAGGGGGAGAGGCTGTCAGGAAGACAGGGCAGGAGAAGGTGGTGAGTCAGAGCTACGAGAGCCAGCAGGCAGGAGTGTGTCTGAGTGTGTCAAATGCTCAGGGCTCAGTGCTCACTAGTTCCCAGACTACCTCTCCCCCAAGAATGGGAGGCACTGTCATCGTGCCGCAGCACCGGGAGCCAGCCAAAACAGACAAGGTCACCTGCAAGCCAGGAACGATCAGAGCCAGTGTTGGCATCCTCCACCCGTTGCTGACCTGGGGTACGACTGCATCTTGTGCTCGTGTCCCTTGAGCCGTCTCTGCACCATGGCTAGAACATGTTCTTTCCAGCCTTAGTAGCTACAGAGAATATAGCTGCAGTTTGGGCTCCTTCGCTGTAATGGGTGGTCCCCAAATCTACTTGCGTTGTCTAACCACACACAGAGCAGTAGTCAGGGCACCCTTTTAATTTTTGTTTGAAATCAACTTCTTCGGTATTCCAAAATCTTGCAGTTTCAGTGTACAAACTCCTTGGACTCCAGGCCCTGTCTGATTGGCACTCTGCAGGGTATATTATCAGGAAAGCCTTGCAGCGGGAGTTCAGATGGTCTCTTCAGGAGACGAGAAGCCTCCATAGCAACGAAGGCCAGCCTGCCTATTGTGTGTTGACTTCTCACCTCACCTGTTCTTTAAAAGAGGAACACAGAGGGTGGCATTTCCATCTGTAATGGGCTCAGAAGGCAAAGCGGCCATATTGACTTTACATTCAACTGTGTAATATGTGGAAAAGACTCAGCATGTTGGTCAAACAATAAATGTCCTGATTCTCAACACAAAGCTTCTTGTCGACTGTGTCTAAGTGGTACGGTTTTATATATAGGGGGCTTAAAAGTGGATTTCCTCAAAGGCCCTCTCATGTCTGGGTGGCATGTCCCCAATGGAAGGCCTTTTGCCTCTTGTCCCTGCTCACCTGGGCTCTCCACTGATTCTCGGAGAAAACTGTGGGCTAGTGAGATTATATGCACAGCCTCGTCTGTTAGAGTCTAACAGTAAAAGGTCAGGGCGACTCCAGGAGGAACCAGGACTCGGGAGTGTATCTATCACCTCTCCACTCTACTCAACAGGGCTATGGGTTAAGGAGGCAGAGTGCAGGGACTAGGTTTCTTACCCTTTGATGATTGCCTGTCATTTAAAGGCAAGAACTTAGGGGTTGTCATGATCCCCTTTTAGATGACATCAGCCATCACCACCCCAGCTTCTTCCACACCAGTTGGGGGACAGTCTCTGAGAGGCCTCTTGGGTCTCCATCTCCACTACACCTACCATAGCAGGTGTCCTGAGTTCCTATCTGGGTTCTGGGAACAATTCCTTAGAATGCTGAAGTTTCAGTTCACGAGTGACCTTTCCCATCAAAAGGTCCTAAAAGTTCTGGAACACTCCAGTTTGCCAACTCAAGGCCACCACGAGGATACAAAAGTCCCTGCCCACTTAGATTGGTATCTAGCGGTAAGGTGTGAGGTGGGCAGATACAGGGGATGGGGAAGTGGGGAGGGCTGAGAGCCTGGGAACATGACTCCATGCCAGATGAAAGTGAGAACAGCAGCCCTCCTCCAACACAGTAGTGTCCAGAGCCACGGGGCTTCACACTGAGGGCATGCTTGCTCCCTACGTTAGCACAGCTAAGCCCTACTGTCTCAAGGCTGAGGTACTCCATGTGTGCTCAAGATGACGTTGTGATTGTCCTGTTTGAAGTGCAGTGTGGCAAGGGCAGGGGCTACTGGGCGACTCGCCTCATCACTGTAAGAGTGACCACTATTTGCTAAGCCCAAATTTATTTATATATATATATGGGAAACCTTGTACTCTTGGCTATGTTATATATAACATATCCATGTATATACACATATATACACAAACACGTATTTTATAAGGTCAACAGAACATGGCTAGGTGCTCCTGTGGGGTGGGACCTAAGGGTGCTGATTAAGGCTACATTCTGGGTGAAATGATGTCAGAAGACCTCATGTCACGAGGTGTAGAGGCCTTGGGAAACAGTGGCAGGGGTTCCCCAGCTGTTGTTCAGTGAGAGCTG